AGATGTTTTTCTTTATTCAGCAACCAAAAGTGATCAAGAGGCTTACAAGGTCCAGTTTACTCAAAAAGAACTAAAGGAGCGACTCACACCACAGGAATATCATGTCACTCAACAAAAGGGAACAGAGAGGTGTGTTCTTTGTACTACGTTTCTCAATGGAGGATCCTGGATCAAACACATTTTAAATACACATTTGAATGCCAGGATTCGAGATCAGTGTTTTGGAACAAAAAAAGAGGGGCGAGATTTGGGAATTTGATAACAATGTAATGAGAGATTATTAGGAAATTATTTGGGAAGTTTTGTTTTGATTAGAATAGCTGATATCTACATGTAGTACGTAATAAGTGATCTACCCTACAGTTTCGTAGAATTGAAAAATATTATACTTGTCATATGCATATTTTGAAAGACGTAGTGTCTTTATGTGCACCCTGAGCCAGTAAAGTCTTTCTTTGACTTGCTTGATTTTAACGCAAGTATTCAAGAAAAACTTTAAATGAATTGTGCAAGATCTTTGTTGAGCATGCGCTGCATGTTGTAAGCATATTGTTTTGAACCTAGTTCTAACAGCCACGTGCTTGCTACAGCAGGCATAGTTATGACCATCGGCTTATCAATAAACAGATGCTAGCACCCAAAAAATCAATTTAACAAGAGTAAACAAGATTGACTTGTCCAGAAGTTCAGGCTGCAGCAACCTCAAAGGCTTGAGGCTATTCAGACAAAGCCTCATTTTCTCCTCACTCAAGATGACAATAGGAGGTTCTGCTTGTGGCTACTAATAAATTAATTAATACTAAAACATATTACGTGAACAAATTTTTAAAACCTACATGCAGTCTGTGGATTTATGGGTCCACTGTTTTTTTTTTTCACAGGGCATTTACTGGCAAACTGGTGGATAACAAAAAGAAAGGAACCTACAGATGTACTGTTTGTGGCAAAGAGCTTTTCCTCTCTGATGCCAAATTTGACTCAGGTTCAGGGTGGCCTTCATTTTGGGAGACATCCAAGGACGGAAGTGTCAGAGAGATTTTGGATCGATCATATGGAATGACTAGAACAGAAGTGACTTGTGCTGATGTAAGTACAGCGAAACCCGTAAGATCAAAATTTGAATTCTCAATTGTTGCCGCTACTCATTTCCTACAAAAGTAATGGGGAGAAGTTGATATTAAAGATATCAAGCAAATTCGTCTTGTGTGATCATGTCCGTTGTTCTCATGACCACTCTGTTTTACGAAGTATTGATATTACAAGGAGAAATTGTATGCTGATCACTCTTAGGGCTTAAATGGTTAAGGCAAGCGAGTGAGATTTAAGAGTAGGGGTTTGGTATAGGAGTAGGTGTGGTGATGACAATGACCTCAGTATAACAATCAATGACAGTATGCAAAGAAAGTAGTGTCCGATAGCCCAGGACTAGTGGATTTTGCTATTGGGCTATTGAATTCTGTTCTATGCTTGCCCGATGGGCAAGTGAAGTTTTTTGAGGAGTTCAAATTACAGGAGAACTCAACTGTGTGATCAATCCTGCTTATCAAAATGTTTTTGGGGCTAGTTAAAATGAATTTTGGGCTATGGCAAGCTGTAAAACTGACTTTCTTTGTACCCTGCAATGTTCTCCTCAGAACTTACTATCTGTAGAAGGGTCTAGTACTTAGGGGGGCACTCCCCATTGCCTTTGAGGCAGAGGCCCTGCCCAAAGGGGTACGTTTTTCAGGCTTCTGGTATACAACTGTACGAAAGGGTCTAGGGATATCACAAGTTCTTCTATATGTATAAGAAAGGGCAAGGAAATCTGAAATTTCGGTATTCAGTAGGCCTTACCCGGTAAAATTGAAATATTTTAAACAGCTGCACCTTATGGTTGTATTGTTTGAATGAAAATTTATAACAACTTAACCCCCCCTCCCCTTCCCTCCCCCACTCCACCCCTGGATAAGGGATCCCGATCGAACTACCCACAAGGGTTGTCAGAAAGTTTTGAAGTAGATGGCTGGGTTGTCAAAGTAAGTGGCCAGTCCAGTGATATTTTATTTCAAATACGCCATCCGTAAAGAAATGCTAAGCAGAGTAGCCGGCTGATACTAACCAAGTAGTCGGCGATTTTCACTGGCAGCCGGCTACTTTTGACAACCCTGTACCCACCTTGTAATTAAATTGCTATGGACGTTTTTAGGCCATCGATCAGCAAGCAAGTTAGGTTATGGAAAAATGATTAAAACCTACGTGGAGTTATACTTTTTTCTTTGGTTTTACCTTCTTTCACAGTGTGGAGCCCATTTAGGACATGTGTTTGATGATGGCCCTAGGCCCACTGGCCTTAGATACTGTATCAATTCAGCATCACTGAAATTTGACCCTTCCAAAGGTAAGTTATGATAATCTGTCAGCTCCCTTAAAAGTGGACACCATATTTTTATAAGGAACCTTGCCTTAGTGTCCTCATTTGCAACTAGATCAAGAGTCTGTAATAGCGGGAGTTTACTTCAGTTAAACGTGTGTAATTTATGTTTTTGCATGGGATTTAGCTGCTGTCTGTACTATTGGGATGTCCATTATAGCTAGCCTGAGAAAACAGCTGACATTTGGCGACACTTCTGCTGGTTTCCCCACCAAATGATGCCTGAGAAATTCCATACTGATAACGTGTCACTACCCAAATCTGGGTGGTGCTTCTGATTAGTCGTGCTGCGCGGGAAATTTGATTCAACCAATCAGGAGCACTAACCAGATCTAGGTAGTGACGCGTCATCAGTATGGAATTTCTGTGCTCCTTTCTCTCGCCAAATGTCAGCTATTTTCTCAGAAAGGCTACATTATAGCAAGATGTCTGCAAGACAAGAGTTCACTGTAATAAGATAATAAATTTAGAATTCTCATCAAAGATTTTCACAAAACACAGTACAGTTTGTATTTTGTTTATGGTGGGTAGGGGTAGCTAAAAATTAGCACATGATTTTATGCTGTTGATAAAAAAGAGTCATTTTAACATATTTAACAATCATTTCGTTCTGATCTATGAACAGGGGCTGGTGAAAAAAACAAGAGCGAGCTGTAGAATTGAAGACTCCCGGTGGAAGTGTTCAAACTGTTGGTAATAATTTATGTCTTCATGTAATATGACAATTCTGCTTGTTATAATGGCTGAGCTTGGAAAATTATCAGATATTTTGTAGGTTATCTGGAAAAGAAAGTTACTGAAATTAAAAGTGGTGTACCAAATATTAAGTGTTATGTTATTTCTCTCCAGGATGGGTTCTAGTGTGTTAAGTTGGCTCATAATGCATAGTTTCTGGAATAATTTAGGTCTTCTTTTCAAAATTGATGGATAAATGTTACAAAACTTAATCATTTCGATCCTACAGTTATTGTTATACTATCATCTCTTGATTGATAAGCACCCAAGGGCATATTTTCCAGTCATTGTTGAGGGGGCTTTATTGGACTGGTTTGGCAACAGAACAGGAATGTCAGTTGATGAAAGGAATGTTAATTTGCCGCTCAGCTATTGGTCAAGCCAGTTGTTTCATTTGCGTGCACCGCCGTCAACTGATGTTTCCGTTCTGTTGCTAAATCAGCCTATTGGAGTGGGGGAGGGGGATGCTTATTTTAAACTGAAGAGGTAATTTACCCTTGGCAATTCATTTTAGTTTAACAGTATTACTAAAAAAAGTAAAGGATATTAAAACTGGCATTCGATATCATACACTGAACCTTTGAGTTTAATAATCAATCTGCATCATTAAATGCTGATGTGCCCAAAGCAGTTCGTCTACAGTAACTGTTAGTTCCACTGTTCAAAAAGACAGTGGAGGGGAGGGGGGGGGGAACGGAGGATTGGGGCTTCTTGCAGTGCAACAAAAGTGTGCTGTCTGGTAGCAATTCTCTCCGGTTAAATGAAATATTAAACAATCATATAATACATATACTGTAGTACAAATGCAAGACTAACTGAAGTGCTCTAAGAAAAATTCTAGGAAGCCCAGTGCTCTGGGCCTGTGAAATCCATGGTGCCTAGCGTATGATTCTATGCAAATATGAGATTTCCTAGTTGCCCAAGAGCAAAAGTAAAGTACCAGAGGATACTGGGTACTGCTAGAGCGCTGCCGTGAAATGTCCCAGGTAATTTACTATAATAAGTAATAATGATGATGATGAGGAGGAGGATGACAGAGAAGAAATCAGCTTTAACATGATCAGTGAAATTTCAATAATAATAATAATAATAATAATAATAATAATAATAATAATAATAATAATAATAAAAGCACACTGTTTAACCATGCTTCAGAGTAAGAGTCAAATAACAGTTTATTATCATTCTTATCAATATAACTTGGTCAAATAAATTTCTGATCTAAAGTCATTAATTTGGTCATTATCTATAAGAAGTTCTATCTTGATTCCTACCATCTTGGTACTTTTATTTGAGAAGCTGAAACAGTACTTAACTTACAGTAGATAACAGTAACAAACAACTTGTAAAATGCCTTTTAGTTTTACATGCAAGTCAATGGTTAAGGTACACAACATTTTTGCTTTTAGCTGCTTTTTAGAAACTACATGGATTTCAAATAATGACTATAGTGGAAACTCTCCTAATGGACACTCTCAGTCCTAAGTAGACAGCTCTACTTGCAGCCACCTTAACAAATACAAACTCTGTATTTTTACATTCCCATAAGTGACCAGCTCCTATACTATGGATACCTTTTTCGCACCCCAAGGGTGTCCACTTACAATAGCTTCCACTGGAGTGAAAACCACTGAAAAGAATATTGAAACTGTCAGACTGTAAAAGAAAGTGTTAAAATACATGTACTTGACATATTTTGTCTAAATATTAATAATCAAGGGGGAAAAAAGTTAAGAAAGACCAGGCCTGAGAAAGCAGCCGACATTTANTTTGCTTTTAGCTGCTTTTTAGAAACTACATGGATTTCAAATAATGACTATAGTGGAAACTCTCCTAATGGACACTCTCAGTCCTAAGTAGACAGCTCTACTTGCAGCCACCTTAACAAATACAAACTCTGTATTTTTACATTCCCATAAGTGACCAGCTCCTATACTATGGATACCTTTTTCGCACCCCAAGGGTGTCCACTTACAATAGCTTCCACTGGAGTGAAAACCACTGAAAAGAATATTGAAACTGTCAGACTGTAAAAGAAAGTGTTAAAATACATGTACTTGACATATTTTGTCTAAATATTAATAATCAAGGGGGAAAAAAGTTAAGAAAGACCAGGCCTGAGAAAGCAGCCGACATTTAACGACGGCACCAATGGTTTCCGTGCAAACTGACCTTTGAGAAACGTGCGCAGAAATTCCATACTGATGACATGTCACTACCCAGGTTTCTGCACTGGTTTCTCAGACACCATTTCATAGGGAAACCAGTGGTCGCATCCCAAAAAGTTGGCTGTTTTCTTAGGCCAGGGGCAACCAGGGGAGGTTGGTTGATTAAATACATGTAGTAGTGGATTCTATGGAATCGATAAAGCAGCTAAAACCAAAGTTTCATCACACAAAATCAATAATAACTATCTCAATGTTTTCAAAGTACAAAAGCATTGCCAAGTTGCACATTTTGACCATAATATGGCCTACAGTACTTTTATGAAAAGTAAATACAACACACATAGGTTTTGTGTACACACAATTCTAGCAAAAATATGTTGCTAGGGAACTACATCTCCAAACAAACACAAAAAATTAAGTTCTTGAAAGAAAAACAAAGAAAGCCCTCTGTAAACCTTTCAGACCAAAAATTAATGAGTAATTTCTTGTCTCTGATTCAGTTTTTTATTACATTTATAAGATCAAGTCTATTTCAACCAGAGAGCAACCTTGCATTTTAGACCTAAAATACAAGGTTTAAAAAAATTTCCTTTAAAATTCATGAGCAATTTCTTGTCTCTGATTCAGTTTTTTATTACATCTATAAGATCAGGTCTATTTCAACCAGAGAGCAACCTTGCATTTTAGACCTAAAATACAAGGTTTTTTTAAAAAAATTTCTTAAAAGGTTACCGAGGATTTTCATGTTTCACGTGAACAAAAACAATGAAATAATGAGCAAATGACTTGTACATGCATATATACACATCACTTACTACTTCTGCAGTACATTCTTTATGTACACCTTAAGCCCTGACATCAGCATAGATACCTGGTATTATTCTTAACACCTTCTTTTTTGATATGTTGTAATTTTTGTAGAGTACTGGGCAGGCATTTTTCTTAAGTACTAAAGAACATCCAAATAATCTTGACCTGTTGATTGATCAGGTCCTTAAACAACAGTCAAATGCCAAACCACAAAATCTTCAATCTCTGGATGGTCTTAGTCCTTTCCATTCAAAAAGGGAGATTTTTTTTAAGACCTAAGTCCCCCTCCCATATCATGTTTAAAGTCCTTAAGACCCCCCCCGCCCTTCATTTTCAAAGAAAATACTTAAGATTGCTGACAACCCAAAATATCTTAAGAATCCGCATCAATCTTAAACCTAGAGATCAAAGCCCTGCCCCCTCCCAATGCACGATACACACTGAGATTGGATTAAGTAGTCTAAGTCTGTTGTCTTAAGTTGTACGATAGCTAGCCAGTTTCTATTATCTTAAAATTGCTGTGATCAGTGTCCTGTTGAATCTGCTGTTCATCAGTCAAAACCTGCCCTGGTTAAGACTTCGCTGATCAATTTGTTCATTCTCATGACCTTTGTGTTTAGAAAAGCACCATTATAATAAGGAGAAACTAGATGCTGATCAATTTTAGGGCTTAACGGCATAACTGGAAATCTACTGCAAGGTATATTAAACTACATCAAGATATCACCTTTAAAATGCATGCATGATGATATTAAATTCCATATTAATTGATCACTATAAGAAAGGATTTTTTTTTATGTACATAGTAGTTTAAAGAAAAATTAAAGCAACCTGTAATATTATTATCAGCTTCTTAATGTATAGCTATACTTTTTGCGATGGAATGCCAACTTGACATCTCTAAGCATCATTAAATAATTTTACCAACAGATTCGTCAAGAATCTCTCATCAGATGATAATGGGAAGCATAATTAACAAATGAAAGTGCATTCTAATAACTTAACATCCTGTTTTGTTAGTGTAGCATTCGTTAATTGCATTAGCCTGTGGAATAAATTCCAGCACTTGCTACAAAACACTAACAATAATGATCTATTATTGTGTCACACCGTGAACATGTCTAAGTGATTGTTAACAATCTACATTGTTTTGCAGTATTAACTGTAATAAGTATTAATTTTTTTTTGCACAAGCAGCAAAATTATACACATCCTTATGTACGAACCACAAAATATAATTCTCTCATTTCAATACATAATGTACC